TGGATGTGTAACCGATGTGATTCTGCAATCTGTATTTGGGGTAAAAATGGGAGTTCATAACCCACTTGAATCAAATGTATGAAAGATGATATATCATGAGCTTTGTAATGTTTTGAACAACCAATAAAAAAAACACTCATGTCCATTCCTTAGCATGGAGATATACTGACATATCTCTTGGGAAAACACCTAGGATTGGAATACTGGGGCCACAGGGTAGGCCTATAACATTTTAGGAAAATACCAGAATATAAAAGTTCCAGGAGCCTACATAGTCACAAACTCATGGTGCAGACAGCCATTCTAATAGTGCAGTGCATCTTGCAGTTTTAATTAACATTTCCCTAATAACACTGAACAACTTCTCGTGTTTCTCTGCTGTGTATTGGTAAAATAGCTGTTTAAATCTTTTGCCTCTCTTTTCACTGAGTTGTATTTTTACTACTGAAGTTTGATAATCAGTAATATTTCAGATACAAGTCTTTTACGAATATCTTCTCCAAGTGTGTGGCTTGTTTCTTGCTTCTTGCAAGAGTGGCTGATGAAGAGCCTACTTCATTATATAATTATAGAATATAATTATACTTCACATTGATGAAGTATAATTCACCAACGTGTTCTTGTATGGGCTGCACGTTTGGTGTCATATCTAAGAAATCTTTGAAGTTTTAAAAAAATATATTCATATTCATATAGGTCTCTAATCTATCGACAGTAATAAAGAAAGGTCATTTATTTTCTTACACATAGTATTCAACTGTTGTAGTACCATATGTTGAAACACCTACCCTTTCCCTGCTGCATTATCTATGACAGACAGAAATGCAAAGACAAACTGTCCACATATATTCGGACCTATTTCTGGACTTCCTGGTCTGTTTTGTTTATTAATCTTTATTTCAATACCACACACTCTTTGATTTTTTGGTAAATCTTGAAACCAGGGAGTGTGTGAACTCTCCCACTTACTTTCTTTTTGAAATTTGTTTTGGCTCTTCCATGTCCTTTAAAGTTCACATGAAATTCAGAAATAGTTTGCTAATTTTTTTTTTTTTAAAAAAAGGCTGCTGGGATTTTCACTGAGGATTATATTGAATCCCTAGGTCAAGGTGGGAAGAACTTGCATCTTAAGATTGAGCTTTTCATCTCATAAACAGTGAAATATGCCAATAGTGTATCTCTCTCTCTACCTAAACTTCTCTCAACACTCTGTAGTTTTCTGCTTGTGTGTCACAGACTGGATCTTACAAATCTTTTGTTGCTAGGCACGATGGCATGCCCCTGTGATCCCAGTGGCTTGGGGGGCTGAGGCAGGAGGATCACAACTTTGAGGCCAGCCTCAGCAACTTAGTGAGATCCTGTCTTAAAAAATAAAAATTTTTACCACATAGCTCAGTGGTAAAAAACTCCCTTGGGTTAAATCCCCTAATATAAAAGTAAATAAGGGTAAGGTAAATCTTTTGTTAAGTTAATCCCCAAGTATGTCATATGTTTAATATTATTGTAAATTATATTGCATTTTTATTTCAATTTTTGGTTAATAGTGAAAATGATTTTTGTATATTGAATGTTTTTTCAATCTCAGATTCAATGTTCTGCAGCAGAAAAATACATCAAAGATAACCTAGAGATAATAGCAGAGGTCTATAGGTTCAGGAGAATCTGCCAACTCAGAGAACTTCCCAAAATGCTTTCTCCTTGGAATGAGGTGGGCGGAGGCAGGAAAGGGAGCAAAACCTAGACTGTTAACCTTTAGTACTGACATACAATAATTAGCACAGTTTTTAGTTTCACAATTGCCAAGATGTGGACTCAACCTGTGTCCATCCAGAGAAAAACAGATGAAGAAAATGTGGTGAGATACACAATGGAATAGTAGTCAGTCATAAAAGAAGATGGAATTCTATCAATTTCAAAACATGGAGGACATTCTGTAATGTGAAATAAACCTAGCAGAGAAAGATAAGCACTGCTGATCTCACTTACGTGTGGACCCTAAAACCACCCTGGAAATAGAGGTAAATAATAGTTATCAGAGGTGGAGGTGGTGGGGGTGGGCAAGGGGATGGGTAAAGGGAAAGAGATGTTGGGGAGAGATTGGCCAAAACTATAGCCAATATGAGGAACACCTTCTGGAGGCTACAGCACAGTTGGGTGCCGATAGTTAATATTATAGGCCACATTTTTCTATGTGTTTTTAGTTGTAGTTGGACACATTACATTTTTATTTATTTATTTTTATGTGGTGCTGAGGATGGAACCCAGCGCCTCACACATGCTAGACGAGCACTCTCCCGCCGAGCCACAACCCCAGCTCCCAGTGGTGCATATTTTAAAATAACTACAGGAGGTTTATGAATGTTCTCACCAAAAAGAAGTGGTAGATGTTTTATGTGCATATGCTAGATACCATGATTTGATCATTCCGTGATACAGTTATAAAACTTTCACTGTGCCTCAATATGTACAATTAGTATGTTCTATTAAGAACAATAAAACTTAAAAAGAAAATGACTTACCTAGATTTGTTATATAATTTAGGAGCCTGAATTGGAACGGATGGTTCTTGTGCATCTGAAGAACACTCATGTTTTGAGGTAACTTCTAAGGAGAAAAAGCAAAACCAAGAAGTGCTAAGCATCCTGAATAAACATTTAAATAGACCTCTCAGGTCTTATGACAGATAAGACATATCAGACCTTGTTGGGTGTCATCCAGTTTCAGTTTCTCTGGTGAATTATCAGCTGTATTTTTGTGCTGCAGGGAAAAAAAAAATAACTTATGATCTCTCTGAAGCCCCCCTTTTGAAAGTCTATTGAAACTACTTCACACATCTTAAAAGGAGCATATCCACCAAGTATCAGGCTCGTTATTCATGAAGCATGGCTCCCAATGACTGTTGGCTCTTCCTAAAAGGTCACCTCTGATCTCAAGAAAGGATCTGCCACTACCAAAGAAACAGCACACACAGGGCAGCAGGAAGACAGACGGCATCAGCTGCTGGGACATGTGTATGACTTCCCAAGGAGCCTACTGAAAAGATGAGAGTTCACTGGGGAAAACGGTCTCTGGGTTTGTTTTTGTTTTGTGACTCCACCATCCCGCTGCAGTGTGATGCATTCAGGTAAGAAAGTGAGGAATGAACTAGATAACTAAATTTGCAAACCAGGGGCTCCATGAAATCTTTTCTAAATTTACTTTTTAACTGGCACATTAAAACACTAAAAATGTGTAGGCTGAAGGCGTGTCATCTGCTGTTTTGATTCACGTATACGTTGTGTAATGTTCAGATCTAGTCAAACATGTCTATCTCCTCAAATACCATTTCTTTATGGTAGAAACATTCGAAATCCTTTTTTTCTGGATTCTTGAAAGGTACAGTGCTATCTATTGTCATCCTACTGTGAACCAGCACACCAGAACTCCTTGGTCCTCTCTAGCCATAACTTAGTACCATTTTTAAACCCTAGGAAGGCCATACCTATGAAATGCATTTTGTGGATGGGATGCCCCAAAGGCACTAATATGAATTTTTCCAAGTTCCTACAGCTAGTAAGTGAAGACCCATGTCTAACTCCAAACTCTGGATTCCTATTCCAGACACAGTCTCCAGGTCCCAAATGAATGAATCGGGCAGAGGCTAGTGGAGTCGTGGCCTTTCTTAGGAGAGCAGAGTTGAGCCAAAGGAGAACGCACAGACTCAGCAGACAACAATCATCTAAAGGGAGCATCGGGAGATGGTTGACCAGGAGCAAATGGCCTGGTCATCAGGAGGCTTGGCACCCATCCCAGCTTCCTTCTGGACCCAGAACAGAACCTATCCCCAGCTCTGCGAACTCACGGGAGGCTCAGACTGGCCATTCAGGTGACAGTCATCTCCAGCACTCATGAGCTCGGCCAGGTTGGTGGATTCCTCAGCAGGTTCTACTCATGTGGAGAAAATGACAATTAAAACAATAACCACGCATGAGGCCCACATGCTCTCCAAGGAACGTGCACCTCTGCTCCTCCACCATCCTCTGGCACGACTGGGTAGCAAGGTACTACCTCAGACCTCAAATGAGCAATCTGTGGGCACGTGGCAAGAAGCTCAAGGGAGATGGGATCAGAGCCCCCTTAGGCCCTCCTCCTGCCGCCCAGCATCTGCTCTTTACCATCCCAGCCCACCCACAGGGGGCGCCATCAGGTGGGGAATGATGGGAAGTCTGCAGCAGCTCTTCCTCCAAACTCTTACTACTTCTATAACCACAGGTTTTCCGAGACTCCTTCCCAATAAGGCGTCGTCCGCACTTTTATAGAGAACTCAGAGTCAGAAAGTTGTTATTTCTCAAAATACCTGTCGCACTTTCTTGGCTAGGGAGAATCTCACGCTCCGCTTTCTCAAACTTACTAGGAAGTTCCGAGGATATTTTCATCTGGTCGGGCAACATCTGAAATGCAAGCCAAAAGCCACAGGACCTTTAAAAGCAGTGGCCTTAAAAATAAACAGGAAAAAAAAAACTTTGAAAGGAAAACTTAAAGCTAGGAACATTGGAACACAGAACATGTATCAATGAGGAGCAGCTCGTCTTCAGTTGGCCCTCTCCTGAAGGAGCTTTTCACCATTTCCAGCTTTCTGTACCACCCTCCCTCCAGGACCAGCTCTGGCTGACCATTACCCTGCTCTCCACCACACTCTCCTGTGGTTACACTTGTTAGAAACCTGGTCCTACGTGCAGCAATGCTGAGGTGTGACACCTCTGGGAGGTGGGACCACAAGAGCTCCATCCTCATGAATGGACTGAGCCAGGCTTGGGCCGATGGGTAGCACAGCAGTGGCTGTGTTAGAAACACTGGGGTTCTCTCCAGCACACTGGCTCTATCTGGCCTGATGACACCCTGCAGCATAATGCAAGGGGAAGGCCTTCCCTAGAGGCTGGGCGAAGACCCGCGCCATGTAATTTAGACTCCTCAGCCTCCAGAACAAGGAGCCAAAGGAAACCTTTTCTCTACCAATTACCAGTCTGTGGTACTCAGTTATGGCGTGAGAGAACCTACTAAGACCATGCCCTCTCCTTTCTCTAAGTCCACGCCCTGGGAATCTTCTAATCCCTGCTTCACTTAGGGGTCGAGTCTCTAGAGACGAGTCTGCAGGGAGGCCCCCAACAGAGGATCCTCCAAACCCATCCCTTCCTCACAGGGGCTCATTGTCCAGGGGCTTCATCTCACACATACCCTGACTCTTCTCCCAAAACATTTGACTCATTTTGCAAAATGTGGAAACATTTTGATGTTTTCCATAAGTAAAGGCAAGCCTGGACCCCTTCATCACGTAACAGAATGAAAGGGTTAATTTTATTGAGTCCGTTTCTCATTTTCTCCCATGAGATCGTCTTTTCACGGGGCCTTTGGAAATTCTTCGCAGAGCACTCCATCCTGTATCAAATGCCTGCCTGTACAGCTCAAACGTAAAAGGAAGTTGGCCCAAGACTTCTCCCGTCAAACCTCTGGCCTCTTAATGCCCTACTGGCCATCACTACAACATTTTATATAATCCACTTTTGTGAACTCTTGTCACAGATGTCTTGCCTTCCTACCGGCTAGGATGCTGATGGAGAAAGGCTCTTGCTCCTGTACATATGTAGGAAGCATTAGAGTCACAAGATAAAAAACCACAGCAATCTAGAAGAGGCATAGACTATTCCACGGGGCAAGACAGGGAGTGGTTGGGGAAACACCCTAAGAAATCCCACTCCTAATGGTTCCCCCTGGGGCCAGGTGGAGCTGAGAACCCAAGAAGAGCCAGGAAGTCCAGTGGGTAGATACATGAACCAGTGAGGAGGTGATGTCTCCTAGCAAAGCTTTATACTGTCAGCAAGACACAGACGGAGCATTTCAAGGTACACAGAGGCTTCGTGTCCTATGTAGCTAAGACAATGTCACTTATAAAGGAAGAGCTCAGATCAGAATCCAAAGCTCTCTACTCATTTCACACGACTTTCTAAAGACCAAGGCTTCTGCTGAACCAAATCTTCACGTCGAACCCCAACCAGGACACCAATTTCTAAAAACCCTAGTGAGAAAATGGAGAGACATATGACACACTGCAAGAATTTCAAAGAATGAGAGAATGGAACTTGCCACCTGTTTGTCTTCTCCCAAAGCTTGGGCGGAAGTTGGTGATATGCTGAACTGCAGATCAAAATGGATTTCTATTTTCATCACCTCTTTCTTGCTGATAATAATGGGCTGCTTCAGGTAAATGATGAGTATTTTTATCTTCTCAGTTTCTAGCAAAAAAAAAAATATGGTACCCATGCACATCAGCATAATAAAGGGCTTAAAACTTTATATTCACAAATGATCACACTGGAGTATCGGCCAACTGTCTGGACTTCTCTGCAATGAGTCGAAAAGTCATTAAATTACTTTGAAATGTTTATTTACCATGGCATTTGCAGGGAAATGGATGGCATTAGAGCAGATTATGCTAAGTGAAGCTAGCCAATCCCTAAAAAACAAATGCCCAATGTCTTCTTTGATATGAGAGCAACTAAGAACAGAGCAGGGAGGAACAGCATGAGACAAAGATTAACATTAAACAGGGAAGAGAGGTGGGAAGGAAAGGGAGAGAGAAGGGAAATTGCATGGAAATGGAAGGAGACCCTCATTGTTATACAAAATTACATATAAGAGGATGTGAGGGGAAAGGGAAAAAAAACAAGGGAGAGAAATGAATTACAGTAGATGGGGTAGAGAGAGAAGATGAGAGGGG